TGACCACAAGTATTATAAAAATAATTACCACGATCCTAATAAAAATATTTATAAAAATATCCATAAAAATAATAGATGGTCAAAGTTAGATCGATGGATTTGCTCGTGTTGATCAAGAATAGTATTGTCGAAACTTGATTATACTAATTTTGGTGGAAAAACCTTTTGCCTTCCCATCGNTAAATTTTAATTGATTCGAATTTTAAAACACAAAAATCAACTTAAATCAAATTTTAATAAATAAAAAAATATAAATTTTTATCGATTCGAAACGTATTTTAATCAAGACTAACAACTCAAATAGAGTTCAAATTGATTCGAATTTTAATATGTAAAAAAAAGGTTTTTAATATGCTCAAATTTTAATGTAAAAAAATAAAATTTAATCAGTTCAAATAAAATTTTATNATTGAAGTTTATGTCCAAATATATACTTATAGATGCCATTTTACTTTATAAAAAAATCTATCAAGTTTAACAAAACAACCTAGCAATTTAAATTATCGAAAAAGATCTCCTAAACCTAAAGGATAAAATCAAAATAAAAATGTTATTGTGGATATAATTTTATGGGCCTAATTTAAAGATTCAATAAAATATTATTATTGAATTAATGAAGGATCCGACTATTAATTTTGATGACATCTACTAATACAATTAGTTAGTATAAACATAATTGAAAACCATAACTAAAATTCGTCGGACGAAACGGGTTCGTGTCGAGTTTTTGCGGATTCGTATATATCGTGTATGAATCATGTATAACAGATTTATAAATAAGTCATGTCATATATTTTTTTTTTATTAACTTCACTCATATCTGATTTATTTATTAATCGTGTCATGTTGAGTCTATTCGTTTATAAATCAGGTAGCTTCGTGAAAACTCAAACTCTCTAATTTCATATCATGTGAACGATTTTTATCATATTTTGATACTTCTAACTACAATTAGTTAAGGTTCCATTACCGAGGTCAATATTATTTCGATTGTTGATTTTGAATTGGATAATTTGTAATTATTAACTAAAAAAAATATAAATATAACATATTTTTATTGATAGAAAAAATAGAAATACGAAACCCAAAAAAAATTGGCTAATTACCCTATCAAGACTCGTGATGGATAAAATCTGCTAACATTATATACCCTTTTTGGAGAAAGGGGTCCATTAACTATACGGTCATTGAGGCTTGTCACGGAAAAGTAATTCTTTATTGCTTCAATCAATCAGTCATTTAAAAAAAAATTTATTAGTATTTGGGTTAGTCAGTCACATGAGATNAAACGATTAATATTAAATTCAAATTTGAATTATACTCTAGTTAATGGTGCTATAACTTGAAACTTAATCCAAACTAATCATTCACCATGCCTAATCCATACAAGTTGTGACGGGATGTGGTCTATCAGATCAATTAAAAATAAATATATGACGTATTCTGTCAATAATCGTAGAAATAATGATTCTTGTGATATAACATGCTTGGCCTCAAAGCTTTGTCACCGAGGATGACCAGTAGGATTTCCTCGGCGTCGTCATGAATGGCGACAAAGGACTTTCGGGATTTTCATGCCAAGCAATGTTGACCTCGATGTCGCCATATGAAGTGCATTAGGATGTCCCCCGCTGTACCATGAACGGGCGACGAAGAATCCTCTCGGTTTAGACCGAAGATTATTGATATTGATAGGGTTAAATACCAACAAAGAATAGGCTGAGGGGCCTAAGAAATAATTGATTTTACATGCCAACAACGCCAGTCGGTGCATTGGAAGGCAATGAGCTTTGCATTGGGAATGCTCACTTAAGGATAAACGAAGGAATGCCTTGCGAAAAATTGTGTTCAATTGTCACATGGCGTGAGTCTTTCCTTGCGAAAAATTGTGTTCAATTGTCACATGGCGTGAGTCTTTCATCCCATATTGTCAAATCTGGCGTGATAATACACTAAAACTAATCATAGGAGATGTACTTAAGAATACAATTAATGCTCTTCATGAGCATACGACAAACGACTCATAGGCATTTAATGATCAAGAGCAAGGATCGGGAGGGTATTGATCCCTTGGGGCACGATATGATGCCGAACGTTTACTCTTGTAAAACATGTTGCTTAATTTCAATTCTCGCAATTAATGCTCAGTGACACCTTACTCGGCAATCTGAAAAAGTAGCTGAAGAGGTAAGATGAACAAGTTAATTGTAAATTCGTATATTCTAAATTTAAATTTCTGCAATTTCTTGAGTATAAATTATGAAAAATTTCTTATAAATATTTTAATTGCAACGTAAATGACCTGTATTTGATTAAATNAAATTTCTTACAAATATTTTAATTGCAATGTGAATGACCTGTATTTAATTAAATAAAAAAAAATAATTAAAATACAAATAAACTAATTCGAATACTCTTAAACTAATTAGAACAAAGTTAGCAAAAAACCCTACCATGGAATTTCAATTGTTACTGTGAGAACATGTTACCTACTATCAGATCAGGAAGGCAGTCAATCCCTATGAACACAGTGTTTGCAGTGAAGGCAGCGCTCTTCTCTCTCTCTCTCTCTCTATCTGAGTGTTTGTGTAATTGTGAGGGTGATGGAGTTGATGTGGAAATGACAAGAGAAAGGATGATTAGATGGAATGGTTGTCACACGTGGCCACAACTCTGCCGCCGTGAGGCGGTTGGAAGAAGGCTGCTTCTCCTCCTGTCAGCTGTCACCGCCCCACCGCATGTATGCTTGCTTCACGCAAGCTTGCTCCCTCTCCCCCCACCCAACTGCCCTCACCGCTTGCCGTGGCTTTAAAGTTTGCCCCAAAACAGTCACCCTTTCCTTTCAATATTATTAATTTTATAGTATTTATATATCGAGAAAGATGTCAGAATTAATAAGATTGTTGATATTAAAAAGTGTATTAATTAAATTATCGGTATTGTAACGATCTGTCATAACTATTAAAATATTATTCGCTTTTGAGCGAATCACTATAATTTGTATCAGAGCAACAGACTTTCCTACCGTCGGTCTGGGAGGGTTTGGATTCCACATGGGCCTCTCGAAGATGCATGACTTCTAAGGGGGTGAAATGTAGTAGCTTGTGGAAATGCCTTGTGTGGTGAGAAAGCGTCGTAGTTTCATCTGTTATATCCCAATATCGACTTAGGAAGGAAAGTGACTGAGTTATATATGCAGTGTGCTCATCTTTAATTGTCAAGAGACNACTTAGGAAGGAAAGTGACTGGTGTGCTCATCTTTAATTGTCAAGAGACTTTTTTTAAAAGAAAATCTCTAGAATAACAAAATTGTAAGAGTGTAAAATAAATATATATACATGAATATTGTATAGAGATAAAACAATGCTGACATTTTCAAGATATAATTTATTGTAACTACTAAATCAACAATTATTCACAACATTAAGTGAAGTCTATTATTATGTCAATGAATATGATACATTAGATTTTCAAATTAAATATTTAACTTAGGTACAATAACATTCAGTGGCGGATTTAGTATGGGATCTAGGTATAATTTTAAAAATTTCAAGAATTTCTTAAACTTACCTCTACTGAAATTTTTTTAAAATATAAAGTATATTAATATAATTTTCAACCCTTAAAAGTTAACTTTTGGTATCTCCTCCTCATTTTTTATGCCTGACAGTTGCCTTCAGTGAAATTTTAAAAAAATNATTAATATAATTTTCAACCCTTAAAAGTTAACTTTTGGTATCTCCTCCTCATTTTTCATGCCTGACAGTTGCCTTCAGTGAATTTTAAAAAAATTTTAGACCTATGTGTAATTTTAAAAATTTCAAAAATTTCTTAAACCTACTCCACTTAAATTTTCTTAAAGTATAAGGTATATCAATATAATTTTAAACCCTTAAAAGTTAACTATTGGCAGCTCCTTTTCACGCATGCTTTTTTTTTTTTTTATAAGTCTTCGTCTTCTTTGTCCAGACTTCTAGTCAAGTCCAGGCATCCAACCAACAGCCCCTCTTCTTTCTTTTATTTAGTTTTTTAGTTCTTTTGGTGTATTCATTAATAAATCAGTATATTAGATTCAATCATTGTGCAAATCAAATTTAAAAAAATCCTATAACATTATGTTAAAACTAAGAGAGTTAATCTATTAACCAAATTTTTTGATAATAGTATTAGCACTAATCTAAAATCAAATTTTTTATATTAGAAAATTAGTTTAACTCTTGTAGAATTGATAATTGTTTGGTGTATTATTTATGGACTTATGTAGATTTTCTTTGTTTTGTCTTGGATCTCCACTTAATTATTTTGAATTTTTGTTAAAGTCTACGTTCAAATTGGCTATCTGAAATTTTTAATTAGTGCTATTTTTCTTCCTTATGATAAAATTGCTTTAATTGATTTCTTGAAATTCTAGTTTTGATTATATTTTAGATTGATGGATTATATTTTGATTATGTATAGTCCATTATCTCATTTGTTACAATCTTAATAGCGAACTCTTTAACTTGAATCTAAATAAACAAATTTATTTTTCAATCAACTATGGATAACTTGTCCCCACTGAGACAAAATCCTGGCTCCACGTCTGATAACATTATTGTATTACATATATATATATATATATATAATGAAGATAAAATACTAAAAAGAACTCTGAGTACGATATTTAAACCTAATAGAGGATCGATGGTTGGTCTAGTAACCACAACCCTTCGTTAGACAATTAAATCGTTGGTTCCAACTTCCAACCTCACTGACCCTCCCTATAAAAGTTTTAAAATAGTGACCCAAAAAAACCCTACTATAAACTAGGAATGCACACAAAAGTCCCAAGGTCCCAAAACTGACCCACCACCAAAAGCTTACCCATTTTCTCATCAAAAGACCAAGTACTAACCAACAACAACAAACCCCTCTCTCTCTCTCCATCCACTTCTTCCTCCCTTTGCTGTCTCTCTAAAGTTCCACAGGGTGTGACATAATATCAGTAGAGAGAGAGAGAAATGAGTAGTGGTCACAACGGAGGTGGGCCTTGTGGTGCCTGCAAGTTTCTAAGGAGAAAGTGTGTGAAAGGGTGCATATTTGCTCCATATTTTGACTCGGAGCAGGGTCCGGCTCACTTTGCAGCAGTGCACAAGGTGTTCGGAGCCAGCAATGCTTCGAAGCTGCTTCTGGGAATACCGGCACACAAGCGCCTTGACGCCGTGGTTACTCTCTGTTATGAAGCTCTGGCTAGGGTTAGAGATCCTGTTTATGGCTGTGTTGGCCATATCTTTGCTCTCCAACAGCAGGTATCCTTCCTACTCTCTCTCTCTCTCTCTCTCTCTCTCTCTCTCTCTCTCTCTCTCTTCACACACACATATTTTATCCGGTACAAAATCTAATCAGTTTTTCTCGAAATCGAAGTATAAATATTTACAATATACCCACTTCAATAATTGAAGTTTTTATGTAAAATGGTGGTTAAACAGGTTTTGTATTACGAGTACTGCTATGCTGTCCAAATCTTAGCTTAAATCTTGTATTATATGGTAGTATTTTTATTTGGGAAAAAAGATTTTGGTTTCATTGGGTATATGTTGAATCCATAAGAAAATGCTCATTTGCGAACATGTTCATGGCAAAAATGCTAAACCTGCAAAAAAGGTTTATACTTCATCATAACTTTTATTACCTTGCAAAATTAAAGAACTCGTTCTAAGAACCTATATTACTTCATGTGATTTTAGAAAAATTTATGGCATACTGTGATTAAGCTCGCATGGACAATAGGTTTTTAGGCTTGTTTATTATNCTTCCAACCTCACTGACCCTCCCTATAAAAGTTTTAAAATAGTGACCCAAAAAAACCCTACTATAAACTAGGAATGCACACAAAAGTCCCAAGGTCCCAAAACTGACCCACCACCAAAAGCTTACCCATTTTCTCATCAAAAGACCAAGTACTAACCAACAACAACAAACCCCTCTCTCTCTCTCCATCCACTCCTTCCTCCCTTTGCTGTCTCTCTAAAGTTCCACAGGGTGTGACATAATATCAGTAGAGAGAGGGAGAGATGAGTAGTGGTCACAACGGAGGTGGGCCTTGTGGTGCCTGCAAGTTTCTAAGGAGAAAGTGTGTGAAAGGGTGCATATTTGCTCCATATTTTGACTCGGAGCAGGGTCCGGCTCACTTTGCAGCAGTGCACAAGGTGTTCGGAGCCAGCAATGCTTCGAAGCTGCTTCTGGGAATACCGGCACACAAGCGCCTTGACGCCGTGGTTACTCTCTGTTATGAAGCTCTGGCTAGGGTTAGAGATCCTGTTTATGGCTGTGTTGGCCATATCTTTGCTCTCCAACAGCAGGTATCCTTCCTACTCTCTCTCTCTCTCTCTCTCTCTCTCTCTCTTCACACACACATATTTTATCCGGTACAAAATCTAATCAGTTTTTTCTCGAAATCGAAGTATAAATATTTACAATATACCCACTTCAATAATTGAAGTTTTTATGTAAAATGGTGGTTAAACAGGTTTTGTATTACGAGTACTGCTATGCTGTCCAAATCTTAGCTTAAATCTTGTATTATATGGTAGTATTTTTATTTGGGTAAAAAGATTTTGGTTTCATTGGGTATATGTTGAATCCATAAGAAAATGCTCATTTGCGAACATGTTCATGGCAAAAATGCTAAACCTGCAAAAAAGGTTTATACTTCATCATAACTTTTATTACCTTGCAAAATTAAAGAACTCGTTCTAAGAACCTATATTACTTCATGTGATTTTAGAAAAATTTATGGCATACTGTGATTAAGCTCGCATGGACAATAGGTTTTTAGGCTTGTTTATTATAAATTTTCAAAAAGAGGAAAAAAAGTGAACGGATGGGCTTCTTTGTAGCACCTAGCTGCTTCTTTAAGTATTGTTTTTTGGTTTTTGGGTATGGAAAAATCCCATGATCTGTTCTCAACGAGTACGGGCGCACTTATGTCGCTCAAGCTGAATAAAATCAAGAGCAAATTCGGGTGTATGAATTGGTCCCTCAACTTATACACCAGTTCAATCAGGATTTACACTTTGTCGGAAAATCAAGGTCCACACCAAAGACTTGAATACTATTCATTCAAGCAACTTTTCGGCGTTAAAATCCAACAAAACAAAGAATACCATCTATTTGTATTCAGTAAATTTTGGGGTCAAGCTTACCTTTTTTTTTTTACTTCACTTTTATCCTAAAATGGAAGACACAGCTGCAGTAAAGAGACATGTATGATTGTTTGATGTTCTTTTTAGCAATATAGCTTCTGGCTGTTTTAGGGTTTCAAGTTTCTTTTTCCAGTTTAGATCTTGATTTTATGGACAAGTGTATAAAAGTACTGATATGTTTGCATATACAACCACAGAGAGAGAGAGAGAGAGAGAGAGAGAGGGTGGGTGGCCGCCACAGTTTGTATTCCTGTGGACTTTTGGGTGTTCGCTTGCCGGGGCTACCAAGAAAACCTAAGCACTCAGCAGCTCGAGAAATACACATTTTTTTTGTAGTTTTGATTTGACTTTCTTGCCTTTTTTGGATTGTTATCTTAATTATAGTAGGACAAAACGTACAATTCATCTGAATCATATTAGATTTAACACATTTAATCTTAAAATCTTTTGAAAATTTGCGTAAAATGCGAGATTTACTTAAATTAATAGGGTTGTTCGAGACGTTTTTGAGTTATATATGCGTCGTCATCATCAAATCAGGTGATATCGTTATGTGATATCAATTATAAAATTTTTTTCATGTTTAATTTTTATATCTATTATTTTGCACATACATCACAGTATGTTACTTCTGATGTGTGTCAGTGCCTTCCAAAATCGATAATCGATACTGTGATGCTCGATCATCTTGATCGTATACTCCCATATGTGTCTATCAAATGATCATAGCCTTGGGTTGAACTGACTTCCTTGATGAACTGAACCGGTTATAGGAATGGTCCCATAGTCCTTCATGCATTCTGATTTAGCAAAAAACATAGTATTTTATTGAATCCCATGTCAATTATTGAGCAGATAAACACCACCAAACTCTTAGCTTTAGTTAGGTATGATACCAATATCGGCTTTCAAATTTGACAACTCCAATGCCGAAAGAGAGGACTAGAGGTTGACTATATTTGGATAGGAATTATGCACTTTAATTAGCAGGAAATTCTAGAAACATTATAATTTCTTTTTTAATATCTCAGTTGTCCTGATAGATCACCAGAGTAGTTTTTCGCTCCGGTACTAAACTAATATTCGACCTTGGGAAAACATTATACTTGTTTCCTCATAATAGTTTGATTAGGATGGATCATTACAAGAAATAATAATTCATTTAATATCATTTCATTGAGAGGGATTTTATTTTATAATTAATAAGATATTGGTGGAAGAAGCACGGTATTGCATCCTCTATTTTCTTAGATTGCTTAAACCATGGAGAGAGAGAGAGAGAGAGAAGCCCGGTCAATGGATCAGATATTGAACCGAATCCAATTAACCGCATATGGGTTGATACTTTGATCAATTGTCCAAATTGAATCTAAATCTATTGTATTATATATTATGATATGGATTGTGAAAACAATATCCATCCGATAATAGAGTTAGATTTAGATCAGAGCTTTGACAAGCCTAAGGAGAGACACATATATATAGAATATTCCAACTCCGACCTATTAATAGACTTAAAAGGGAGAGATTAACCGGAGTTTGAGTCTCTTTACCCTTCACCTACTGAGTTCGAGTCTTTTTATATACCCTTCATCACTAATCTCTTGCATTCTGGAACTAATATCAAGCGTGACAAGCCTAATCTCTTGCATTGTTGTGTGTTGAGTCATATATGTAGGAACACCGACCCCAAACGACTTCTGACTCTGATGAAATCTTATAAATGCATGCAGGTGGTAAATTTGCAGGCGGAGTTGGCATACATTCAAGCCCGTCTCTCTACCATGCAACGCCTCCCCTTGCTGCCTCCTCTTCCCCAACGTCAATCCCCTTCAGAATTCGCATCTACATGTAATGCATCAATGCATTTTGATCCTGCACAATCTGAACAATCATCAATGGAAATGGATAGCTTCTGTGATTTTACTGATCAAGAACTCGAAGATGATCTCCAAGCGTTAGCTCGAGAATTTGTGTATCGATACTTGCCAGGAGTGAGATTCAGGCCCTCAACTTCTCTCTGAATAATGTAACCGATCCTTCATAATGTTAAAAGACATCGTTGGAAATCGATGGTTTGTGTTTTGTAATCCTGATAGATCAAGAAATTGGAGATGATAATCTCCAAGCGGTTGCTTGCGAATTTGTCTCTCGATACTTGCCAGGAGTAAGATTCAGGCCTTCAACCTTGCACTCCTCAATAGTGCAACTGCTCAAACTATCATGGTAGTATGCCTTTTGAACCTTTTCTGGCTTTGTTAGTGTATCTGTATTGATTCTAAATCTTAAATCAAAGTGTATGATATGTTAGCGATTGTTTGACAACTTTTTTTTAAGTACTCTCTTGTATTCTTTTTTTTAACTGAGCCAAAATTTAGACTTGTTAATTGTACGGAGTGAAACAAGTTCGCGTTAAAAAGTATTTACTTGTATCTGATTTATTTATTAATATTTATTTAATTAATCGTATCATATCAAGTTCATGTTGTGTATCAATTGTGTGTAACCAGTGTACAAACCAATCTTGTTGTGTATTTCTTTTAATTAGTTTCACTCATACCCGATTTATTTATTAATCGTATCATGTTGGGTCTATTCGTTTACGAAATGGGTAGTTTAAAAAAAACTAAAATCCTAAGTTTGTGTCGTGTTAATAAGCCATGACATATTTTGGTATTTCTGTCAAAATTGATCATTGGACATTAAAGAATACTAACAACAATTTACCAAATAAATTGTATTTTTACCAGGGATAAAAATAAAATTATTGCAATGATATTGAAATATAATATTAAGAAATAATGCGATCATTAGATTGATAGTGTTGTGCATCAGATCTTGGATTGGAACCATTGATAGTTTATGTTAATTTAATGACAACAATTATTATGTCTTTAAATTTTATTTTTAAATTATGTCCTTATACTATTGCTCATAAAATTAAGGGTACATCTTTGGTTGGCTAATCTGACACCAAATCAAAAGTTCAAAACCTGATTTGGGACTTCAATAGTTGGGTTAGGATTGTGCAAATAAAGGCCAACCCAATTTAAATTCAAGCAGTACTCGGACGGATAGTTTTGGATCTCAAGCCTGTACCCAAATTAGTGAATTTGGGTTTAATTTGAATAAGCCTCGAGTCAAGTTGGGTTCTAACCTGATTTATATAATCTGAGGAACAAATTTGAATTGAATTCAATTTTATCTCGAATTGTGTGCAAGGATGGCAGTAGATCCGGAGGAAAACGGGTATTCGCCCAAATTTGTCTCATATATGGTAGACATATACGGAAATACCCGTATAAACCTGTGTTAGAATGGAGTCAAAGATGGATTGAAACTCATCCCCGCCTCGCTCCTCCCTGCCCCACTAAATCTGTGATATATATATAATAAATAAAACAATTAAAAGAAAAAATATGTAACTATCGCTCCTAAGTCGATGGTTATCTTGTCAACAGTAGTGCTAATAATTTCTATAATTTAAAGTTATTTTTTCACTTAATTTTTTATTTTCTCTTTCTTTTTTTTCAGTTTCATTTCTATATTTTTTTTAGTAAAACGGTCGACAAAATTTGAGGCAATAATTAAATCTCCTATAGCCTACACAAAGCAAATTTAATCTGAAACTTGTATATCAATCCCGTGTAACTCTGAAACTTGTAGCGGACAGTGAGTCTGTGTTACCCAAAATACACACTCAATGAGAGCAAGATTTAATCAATGGTACCTCACAAGATTTGATCTATTTGTTATATAATGAATTTTCATCATTTTTACAGATTCATTTGTGAGGTTTTATGATTTTTTTTAAAAAAATTATATAAATTAATTGTTATGAACGGGAATGGTAACGAGAACAATGATCAAAATTTACATGCGAGGCGGAGACGATGATTAAAATTTTTTTTGTNTTTTTTTTAAAAAAATTATATAAATTAATTGTTATGAACGGGAATGGTAACGAGAACGATGATCAAAATTTACATGCGAGGCGGAGACGATGATTAAAATTTTTTTTGCTAATGAGAGTGGATTGAGGGTGAGCGAATATTTTTGAAACGGATATGAGGTGGAGAGTATTTGCCCTGCCCACGCCCCGATCCACTGAGGTCCCTAATGTGACTCAAGCCCAAGTTCAGGAGATTATGTTGAATTAGATTAAAATTAAAATGAAATAAAGAATTTTATAATTTGGATCGAGTCGGAGTTGATTTGCCAACCCGCTTGGGCTGTACTCCTTGCTCATATGGGTACGCCACGAGCACAATTGGACGAAACCCATTTACGACCTTTGGGAATAACCTAGCCCGCTCTCTCTCTCCCAACTCTTAAAACTTCCAGCGTCACCATGTTGCTCTTGTAGGCTGACCATTCTGGTTTGGTATCCTATCTTACCTTTCTTGTATCACTCTAAAATGCTATTCATACAAATGGGTTTTCTTGGATCAGTTTTTCTGGGTTTGTTCTGACAATCACACACCCACCCACCCACACACACACACACACACACTTGCATGTATGTGTATACCTGTCTTTTATATTGATTTTTTGAGGCTTGATTTTGAGGAACCTTTGGCATTGTAACTTGAACGTTTCTGGCAAATGGGGTTTTTTTTTTAATGTGAATGAGCTTTGGCAATTGGCATGTGTTGGGTTATCCAGGTGGGTAATTAATATATTATTTTGATTTATGGTTGGTTTGTTGCTCAGAGAAGGTAGAAAAAGAAGGTAACTGATGAAGTATGAAGCCTAATTAGGTATTATGCATTGTGTCTGTGAATTAGTTGGATTTGGTGAAATTATTATTAGTTCGTGTGGAAAATGAATGACAAGGGAAAGCTGGTTTGCATGTTCGTGGAGTTGTTTTTGGGGAATTTTTTAGCAGGTTAAATTTCAACAGTTGTGCTAAATGAAAGATCAAGCACTAGTCATGTTGAAGGGAACTATGAACTTATATATACTTGAAATGTTTATCATTGTTTTACATTCCCGTTCAGGTTTGGGGAGAAGAGATTTTAGTTGAGGCAAGGTTGTAGAAGCCCATGATAAGATATATAAATAGTTGTATTGCTACTTTTTTCACTTATTTTTTCTGAGGATCGGTTTAGCTTGTGCGTTCAAAAGTCCAAACAGAATTTGTAGATATGAATCAAACTTTTGTGGGTGACACATTTGTCTAACTTAAAAGAATTCTTCTCATCAANTCACTTATTTTTTCTGAGGATCGGTTTAGCTTGTGCGTTCAAAAGTCCAAACAGAATGTGTAGATATGAATCAAACTTTTGTGGGTGACACATTTGTCTAACTTAAAAGAATTCTTCTCATCATTCAAGTCTTTGCTGTTGAGGAATAAATTTGATGATTTACAAATCTCTTAAAGTTATTTGATACAAAGGAGAGAAATTTTTCTGGTGGATTATATGAGGGAGAAAACTCAACAACATTTATATCCAATCCTCCTATAAAAAAAATATGGAATAATCGCCCTCACCAAAAATTGAAGATCATTTGTCCTCATCATTTGTGCTGTATAATTTGTTGAGATGGCATTCTTACAGGATAAAGAAAAATTACCTTTTCCATAAGCTTAATATATATACTTTTTGTTATTATACAGAAAAATGCTTAGTTAGGTGGCTTGTTTGTAAATATCAATATGTTTCCTCTCTTTATGATGCTGGTTTTAAACAAGGTGTCTAAAGATGGTTGGAAGTGGATGCTCCCTGACCTATGGGGGTGTTTACATGAAGTACCCTCCTTGTAATGCTAAATCTTACAACTCAGCGTCAGCATGCATCTCTGCTTTGCCGCACATGGTTGCATTGTCAAGCATTAAGAGTTTATGGGGACCTCGCCAGGATCTAAAACCATTCTCTACCAGAGGTGTGTGTAAATGCTTTTCTTGATTCCTTTGCATAAGATCTGTTTAGGCAGCATTTGGTATGAGAGTAAAGAAAGCATCATTTAATGTAGGTTCTACATTTCCTTGTGCGTCATTGTTTATGGCATGAGAAGTTTGATTTTCTGTCGGTAATAAATTCTGAGATTCATTTAGGCTGCATTTGGAAAGTGGGAAAAGAGATGAATTCTAAGATTCATTTGACATTGCATTGTACATCGCATTTCTTGTGTGACAAATGGCAATGTACTATGGGTAATGAATTGTTTGAGTCAACCAAATTGTGTTTTTGCTTCATAGGGAGAGAACCTGGTCTCTCGTATTCATTTATACATATTATGGTTATTTTGAAATATCAAAACTGCTTCTCCCTTCTCTTGTATCTTGAAAATGGTATTTGAGCTTTTGAACATATTTGAATTGAAGTCCCTTGGACAACATCCAGACAAACGATATCACCAATAATCAAATGGCATTGTGTACCTTTTTTTATTTTGTATGTGAATGAACCAAAAGCAACAAACTGGATTTAAATGGTTTTGAGTCGGTCTTATAACCCATTTTGATCTTGATGTAAATTCTTTATAAGTTCAATATATCTGAATAAATCCGATATAGCATTAATGGCCATTGAAATCTTGAGAGATATCGTATGCCCACCCCAAAAAGGAAGGTGCGCAATGTTCAAGTACCAAGTTGTGCGATTATGAGTCTCTTACTGTTTTATGAACCTTTAACCACAGTCCCACTCCTTTCTGGTCAATTACGATAGAAGATATATCTCTAAGTCTTTCAAAATAGGGGAAACTGGGATGAATATGTGAGTAACCCTAATGTTGTGGAAGAATTTGTGTAGTTCATAATGAGGCTTCAATGAGTATGTTCTTCACGAAGTCATTAACAAAGTTCATGTATATTAGCATTCCTCCATATGGGAAGCGGGCTACTCCTCGAAAATGCCTCGCCTGTAGGTTTGTTTGTCATTGGGGCTCAAAATCTTCATTGTTTGTTTCTAGGAACTCAGTAACATGGCTAGCCAGGTCAACGGGGAATGAGAAAGATTGATCTAGAAGGACTGTGTTAGTAGGGGTCGTAGCAATTAGGCATGCAAGTGAGAACGCNCCGACAATTGTAATCCATTAGGTAACCAAGTTAGCTACTTGGGGCATGTTTGTTTTGAGTATTGTTATGTATGGGATTAAGAAATGTATTTCTTACATTTTCAATACCAATGGATATTAGTACCAATAATATAAAGTATTCTAATTTTTTTTTTATGTTTGTTTGTTCAATAGGTATTATGGTGGATTTTACAAACAATCATGTATTCTATGACATCTTATATAACAAATATACAATTTTACCCTTAGCATCATCTATTTCATTACTCCATTTGTGTAACATTTTTGCACAATATTTGTTATAATACATGGTATGACAATACATATTCAAAAAATTACGAATNAATGAGGCTTCAATGAGTATGTTCTTCACGAAGTCATTAACAAAGTTCATGTATATTAGCATTCCTCCATATGGGAAGCGGGCTACTCCTCGAAAATGCCTCGCCTGTAGGTTTGTTTGTCATTGGGGCTCAAAATCTTCATTGTTTGTTTCTAGGAACTCAGTAACGTGGCTAGCCAGGTCAACGGGGAATGAGAAAGATTGATCTAGAAGAACTGTGTTAGTAGGGGTCGTAGCAATTAGGCATGCAAGTGAGAACGCATTATAGATAGCTGAACGTGGGTGTGATTGTCATTCTCCACTAATAGAGATCAGAGAGAAGGCTTGGGATGATGGGTTTGAAGACAGGTTAGGACCAACGAGTAAAGTCGTTAAAGTCTAGAGGCTGGAGGAAGTGATAACAGGTTCGACCACCGAGGGAGTAATATTAAGAAAGAAAGATCTGATTTGGCCACTGAACTGACATTGGAGAGAATAGGGAGAGGAGCATTTTCATAAAATAAAAAACCTTCAAAACTTTTTGTAAAAACATGGTATTCGTCGTCTTTTGACTGCACAATATTCACCTCAACAAAGTAGTGTTGCTGAAAAAAGGAACCACACAATCCTTAACATGGAACGTAGTATGTTGAAAGGTAAAAACATGCCACAAGACCTTTGGCCTGAAGCCGTTGCTTGTGCAGTATACTTGTTAAATCCGTGCCCAAAACAAATTTGAATAAAACATAGGCTTACCTAATGGCCTTTGTGATAGTATGTGGTCAAGACTCTGTTTGACGGTCGGCCATCAAAGTCTAAGTAATATTGAGAAAGCTATAAGTAGATTACTTATCTTGCCATTATCTTATATCTCCCGCCACATTCCTTAAATGGTCGAGAGCATCTTTGGATTTTACTTCTTGTCATCCAGTCCTTTTGTACCTAATTTTTCATTCAATTTTTTACTGCAGGAATTCCGTGTTTGCTTACATCTGCTGGCTCATCACCATTTTCAAGTGTGGAAAAGGGTGGCTTGTCAGATACTATACCAAAGTTACACACAGGACGTCGATATTTAATGTCTCCAAGAGCATCTAAGGATGTCCCTTATAGTTTCCGATACCCTGCAATGACCAAGAAGCCAAGATGGTGGTGGAGGACTTTAGCTTGCCTTTTCTACTTGATGCCACTCCACGAAACATGGATGTATGCTGAGACAGCATATCGACTCCATCCCTTCTTGGAGGATTTCGAGTTTTTAACCTACCCTTTCTTAAGAGCAATGGGAAGCTTGCCTAGCTGGTTCTTAATGGCGTATTTCTTCGCTGCATATCTCGGAATGGTGAGGAGAAAGGAATGGCCTCATTTTTTCAGGTTCCATGTAGTGATGGGCATGCTGCTGGAGATTACCCTGCAGGTGATTGGGACTGTGAGCCGCTGGATGCCGCTTGCTGTTTATTGGGGTAAGGTTGGTATGCATTTTTGGACTGCAGTTGCATTTGCGTATATGTTTACAGTGTTGGAGTGTATAAGGTGTGCTCTTGCTGGGATGTATGCTGACATTCCATTTGTGTGTGATGCGGCATACATTCAAATACCTTATGACTAAGGATGGTATAGATAGGAGGAATCAAAAAAGAGATGCCATTTCTTTTTTTCCTCTTTTGGGTTGATGTAAAACTTCAAAACTGCATGGTGTTCCAAATTTTAATAGCTGATTTCCATTCTCTCTTTTAGTTATTGTTTGAGCAAATATCAAAAATATCGTTTCGTTTCCACCGAAACAAACATGGGATATTGAAATCAAAATCAAAAGTTTTTCAAACATTCTTGTTTTCAAAATATTTGGAATTATGTGTTCGTTTCGTGATAACCAAACTATGCAATGAAACGAAATTTTGATTTAGGTAATGTAAAACTCTGTATCTTGTGAATGTGTTTAGATTGTGGATCTAATTCATTATAACTATTGAATTAATATTGAGGTCTTACATTGAATCAAGTCTATTTAAAATCCGACAATTGTAATCCATTAGGTAACCAAGTTAGCTACTTGGGGCATGTTTGTTTTGGGTATTGTTATGTATGGGATTAAGAAATGTATTTCTTACATTTTCAATACCAATGGATATTAGTACTAATAATAGAAAGTATTCTAATTTTTTTTTATGTTTGTTTGTTCAATAGGTATTATGGTGGATTTTACAAACAATCATGTATTCTATCACATCTTATATAACAATATATAATTTTACCCTTAATATCATCTATTTTATTACTCCATTTGTGTAACATTTTGCACAATATTTGTTATAATACATGGTATGACAATACATATTCAAAAAATTACGAATAATGTAAAAAATCCATATAAAAAATAAAGAATCAGATACTATGAATCAGTGACACCATAAAAAAAATAAATGTAAAAAATCCATATAAAAAATAAAGAATCAGATACTATGAATCAGTGACACCATAAAAAAAATATATGACACTGTACGCTTAAACATAATATAAGAAAAAAATTTAAAATAATTTTTTTAAAAAAAATTTAAATAAAAATCAGTGACACTGTACGCTTAAACATAATACAATGAAAAAATTCAAAATAATTTAAAAAAAAAATTGGTGACAACGTATACTTAAATATAATACAAGAAAAAAATTTAAAATAAATTTTTTATATGTGAATTCTATATTGGAGGGTATTTGTGTTATTTTTTTTGTTTGTACTGCTGGTAAATTTATACCAACAAATAATATTACCCGATAGGTAATATTTATTAAAGTCATGTATAAGGGTTAAAGATTATTCTACAAACTAAGTCGGTATTACAATCTAAAAAATAATACTGCATATAAAATACCAATCAACTAAGGTAATAAGTGGACTTTATATATTATTTTTTGATATCCCACTTTATAATACTGCTAAAACTCTCAAACAAACATGTCCTAATAATATTATTCTTTTTAGAAAATAATCTTTTGAGTTATAAAGGGTTTGATTGGTCAAAACTTTTTAGGAATTTATGTCATTTCAGTCTATTTCATGACAATACATTTATGAAGAATAAACNACATGGAACGTAGTATGTTGAAAGGTAAAAACATGCCACAAGACCTTTGGCCTGAAGCCGTTGCTTGTGCAGTATACTTGTTAAATCCGTGCCCAAAACAAATTTGAATAAAACANCTGAAGCCGTTGCTTGTGCAGTATACTTGTTAAATCCGTGCCCAAAACAAATTTGAAAAAAACACAACAAAAGGCATGGAGTGGGCGNTGCCACAAGACCTTTGGCCTGAAGCCGTTGCTTGTGCAGTATACTTGTTAAATCCGTGCCCAAAACAAATTTGAATAAAACATAGGCTTACCTAATGGCCTTTGTGATAGTATGTGGTCAAGACTCTGTTTGACGGTCGGCCATCAAAGTCTAAGTAATATTGAGAAAGCTATAAGTAGATTACTTATCTTGCCATTATCTTATATCTCCCGCCACATTCCTTAAATGGTCGAGAGCATCTTTGGATTTTACTTCTTGTCATCCAGTCCTTTTGTACCTAATTTTTCATTCAATTTTTTACTGCAGGAATTCCGTGTTTGCTTACATCTGCTGGCTCATCACCATTTTCAAGTGTGGAAAAAGGTGGCTTGTCAGATACTAGACCAAAGTTACACACAGGACGTCGATATTTAATGTCTCCAAGAGCATCTAAGGATGTCCCTTATAGTTTCCGATACCCTGCAATGACCAAGAAGCCAAGATGGTGGTGGAGGACTTTAGCTTGCCTTTTCTACTTGATGCCACTCCACGAAACATGGATGTATGCTGAGACAGCATATCGACTCCATCCCTTCTTGGAGGATTTCGAGTTTTTAACCTACCCTTTCTTAAGAGCAATGGGAAGCTTGCCTAGCTGGTTCTTAATGGCGTATTTCTTCGCTGCATATCTCGGAATGGTGAGGAGAAAGGAATGGCCTCATTTTTTCAGGTTCCATGTAGTGATGGGCATGCTGCTGGAGATTACCCTGCAGGTGATTGGGACTGTGAGCCGCTGGATGCCGCTTGCTGTTTATTGGGGTAAGGTTGGTATGCATTTTTGGACTGCAGTTGCATTTGCGTATATGTTTACAGTGTTGGAGTGTATAAGGTGTGCTCTTGCTGGGATGTATGCTGACATTCCATTTGTGTGTGATGCGGCATACATTCAAATACCTTATGACTAAGGATGGTATAGATAGGAGGAATCAAAAAAGAGATGCCTTTTCTTTTTTTCCTCTTTTGGGTTGATGTAAAACTTCAAAACTGCATGGTGTTCCAAATTTTAATAGCTGATTTCCATTCTCTCTTTTAGTTATTGTTTGAGCAAATATCAAAATATCGTTTCGTTTCCACCGAAACAAACATGGGATATTGAAATCAAAATCAAAAGTTTTTCAAACATTCTTGTTTTCAAAATATTTGGAATTATGTGTTCGTTTCGTGATAACCAAACTATGCAATGAAACGAAATTTTGATTTAGGTAATGTAAAACTCATGTATCTTGTGAATGTGTTTAGATTGTGGATCTAATTCATTATGACTATTGAATTAATATTGAGGTCTTACATTGAATCAAGTCTATTTAAAATCCGACAATTGTAATCCATTAGGTAACCAAGTTAGCTACTTGGGGCATGTTTGTTTTGGGTATTGTTATGTATGGGATTAAGAAATGTATTTCTTACATTTTCAATACCAATGGATATTAGTACTAATAATAGAAAGTATTCTAATTTTTTTTTATGTTTGTTTGTTCAATAGGTATTATGGTGGATTTTACAAACAATCATGTATTCTATCACATCTTATATAACAATATATAATTTTACCCTTAATATCATCTATTTTATTACTCCATTTGTGTAACATTTTGCACAATATTTGTTATAATACATGGTATGACAATACATATTCAAAAAATTACGAATAATGTAAAAAATCCATATAAAAAATAAAGAATCAGATACTATGAATCAGTGACACCATAAAAAAAATAAATGTAAAAAATCCATATAAAAAATAAAGAATCAGATACTATGAATCAGTGACACCATAAAAAAAATATATGACACTGTACGCTTAAACATAATATAAGAAAAAAATTTAAAATAATTTTTTTAAAAAAAATTTAAATAAAAATCAGTGACACTGTACGCTTAAACATAATACAATGAAAAAATTCAAAATAATTTAAAAAAAAAATTGGTGACAACGTATACTTAAATATAATACAAGAAAAAAATTTAAAATAAATTTTTTATATGTGAATTCTATATTGGAGGGTATTTGTGTTATTTTTTTTGTTTGTACTGCTGGTAAATTTATACCAACAAATAATATTACCCGATAGGTAATATTTATTAAAGTCATGTATAAGGGTTAAAGATTATTCTACAAACTAAGTCGGTATTACAATCTAAAAAATAATACTGCATATAAAATACCAATCAACTAAGGTAATAAGTGGACTTTATATATTATTTTTTGATATCCCACTTTATAATACTGCTAAAACTCTCAAACAAACATGTCCTAATAATATTATTCTTTTTAGAAAATAATCTTTTGAGTTATAAAGGGTTTGATTGGTCAAAACTTTTTAGGAATTTATGTCATTTCAGTCTATTTCATGACAATACATTTATGAAGAATAAACAATTCCCTGTTTCCTGCTTAATCTGGACTGTTCAGTCTAATCAAGATGTAAGGGCTAGGATTGTAGTATTGCCCCACCCCTAATGTGGGTTTTTATTTTATAATTGTTTTTTATTGTCCCTCAATAGTAAACTATTTTTTAAAATGAACACAATTTGTTAATAAGAATAATAAATATGTTGAGTTTATGTTAAATGCTAATACTTCAATTTTGGCATGAAAAACTCATTTAATTGGTATTTTATAAAAATTATATTTTTTAAAAATAAACTTTTAAAATTTCTAACACATTGTAGTGAATTTGGTCGAGAAAAAATTTGTCTTATTCTTGAAATTTTGAATTCAGGGTTATCTATAGTGATCCGAATACGAGACAACCTTAACACAATTTGCATGCATATGAGGTCAGGATTTATATACTTATACATATTAAGTTGATTTTAAATTTAAAAAATTCAAGATACTTTTTCAATAAATTGAATACACATATATAAATTTTACTTTTGAAATTGTGAATTGAAAATTCTTCCAACTATTGTGAAATTAGAGGGGAGTGAAACCCATTTTTTAATTACGCTTTCAAATTGAAATTTATCGATTTTAAATCGTGCTTTTATGTGAAGCAATGATGAAAATTCATCAGTACGACATCAAATATTTTCTTTGACAGCCTAACCAAATTCTTATTATAGAGGAGGGAAGGAATAAACTTCAAATCCACAATTTTTATGTCTAACTAAGGGATGTTAGAATACTTTATTCAATTTTTATACTTCAAATCCACTCAAATTTATTTTTAAAATTTTTAAATATATATATAATTATATTTTTATATAAAATTAATGTATAGATAATATATAGACAAATAAGATAGATATTTCATCCACTTTTCTTCAAATTTTGGAGGGATTAATTTTAGTAAGCTGAAAGAAAAGTTAATTCATTAAATTTTTCATCCTTTATATTTTTTCTCCTTGCCAAATATTATTTGATATTTTATTTATCCCTTTAATTTTTTATCCATCTATTTTTTTATCATACCAAACGGAATATAACATCGAAGAATACAGTGGTCCAATAAAGTATAAAAATTTGAGTGTCAAAATTTATATTAGGATTCGGTAATTACGATNTATATATATATATATTTATATTTTTATATAAAATTAATGTATAGATAATATATAGACAAATAAGATATACATATTTCATTCATTTTTCTTCCGATTTTGGAGGGATTAATTTTAGCAAGCTGAAAGAAAAGTTAATTCATTGAATTTTTCATCTTTCATATTTTTTCTCCTTACCAAACATTGTTTGGTATTTTATTTATCTTTTTAATTTTTTATACATCTATTTTTTTATCATACCAAACGAAATATAACATCGAAGAATACAGTGGTCCAATAAAGTATAAAAATTTGAGTGTCAAAATTTATATTAAGATTCGGTAATTACGATCCCTTTTGATCAAGATAGACATTAGACGAAGCGCTAAAAAGTATCCAAGTAGAGTGAAAAGAGTCGTATATAAATTTGTTGTTAGTGTAGCAATAGCATAGATTTTTCTTTTTCATTGATGCATTACAGTAGATGTCAGCATCAAAATCCTAGTTTAAAGACATGCCATGCCATGCCAACCAACATCACATNCTTTAATTTTTTATCCATCTATTTTTTTATCATACCAAACGGAATATAACATCGAAGAATACAGTGGTCCAATAAAGTATAAAAATTTGAGTGTCAAAATTTATATTAGGATTCGGTAATTACGATCCTTTTGATCAAGATAGACATTAGACGAAGCGCTAAAAAGTATCCAAGTAGAGTGAAAAGAGTCGTATATAAATTTGTTGTTAGTGTAGCAATCGCATAGATTTTTCTTTTTCATTGATGCATTACAGTAGATGTCAGCATCAAAATCCTAGTTTAAAGACATGCCATGCCATGCCAACCAACATCACATATCATCAGCTGATTAATTAAGAAGAAGAGGAGAGAGAAAAAGAGAGAACTTCAAACTCAAACCCTTACAGTCCCAACTTCCAATGTAAGAGCAACCGACGGGAGCATCAGAGAGAGAGACAGAGTCGAATCTTTCTTCGTCTTCGACTGCTATGAATCCAAGCAAAGTAGAAGAAGATCTGTTCCACCATCATCTGGACCCACACCAAATCATACACCATCAAAATCAATCACAGCCCTCCATTCTCGATCACCTCCGCCACCGTGAAGTGGAAGAGCCCTTCTCTTTCCCTACGATCTCCGAAATCGTCCTTTTCCGAGAAGACGACGACGACAACGACAGTCACACCTCCTCCGACGCCGATGAAACCTCCAAACTCCCATCCCCAGACGACGCCGTTATGTCAAACCCTAACCCCAACCCTCACCCACCGGCGTACATCAACCCCGAGCCCCATATTTCCACCCAATTCTACACTTTCAACAAGGAATCGCATGCCCTAATGATTCGTTGCATTCTAGAGGGACGCCTCGCGACTTCCGATGAGATTCGAACGGCCACGCCACCGGCGGTGCTGTCGAGCTGGCGTTCTGTGTGGAAGGATCGCAACGAGGACACGGCCTACCTCACCGCGTGGAAGCGTATTCAGGACAAACTCAATGTCCATATCGACCCTCACGGTAATGAATTCTTGTGTTTCAAGAACAATTCCAGTCAATTTGTATCTCACATTGATCAATGGCAAGATATAGTAATGAGTTTTCATGGAGATGCTGATTTAAAACATTTAGGGCTTAAAGAAACTATTGAGAGAATTAAGCAAGTTTGGACTGTAGGTGCCAAGTTTTATGGAATTCCCGAATCTTTCATTAGGGGTTGTGTCGGGGCGTGCTCCGTGTGCTCAGATGATTCATCAGGGTCCTTGTCACGTACAAAAAGACGGCGGTTTGAGTACACGGAATCTTTTGATGTGCCAGCAAAGGAGGTGCCTGTTAGATTGCAACAATTGGCGACTAAACATAAGGTTGTGCTGTGTATAAGGCAGAAGTATATTAGGTATAAGCCATTTATGGCTGAGGTTAAAGATTACGCGTGTCATAGGGCAGGGGAGCCTGCGTCAAGTAAGAAATCCAAGATTTTGAAGAGGGAGCCCTACACGTCGAAGAGGTGTGGATGCGGGTTTAGGATACGGGCCATTGTGCCTATCTCAAATTATAATGAGAAGGACAAGACTTTTGTGTATCAAGAAGAGGGTATGGCAGTGTTTAAGTTGTATGCAGTGCATTCAGGACATGAACCGGGGCCGTTAGATGGGAATGCACGGATTATGCATCGGGTTGTTGGTCATAAAAATGGGGTTTTGATGGATCAAAAAGCAGCCTGCGTGATGAGTGAGGAAGCAGAAAATGAGGGTTTTGGTTTCTTGGAGAAAGACGATGGGGATTTGCAGCATTCGGTTTTGCACCAAGTGCAGGAATTGAGAAATGAAGTTGGGTTGCTTGAACGGAGAATTGGTAAAATCCCTCACGAGCTATTGGGTTCAGTGTCACTAGAGTTATTTGATGTTGTGAATAAACTTAGAAATATAGGAGAATATGGAAAGAATCCTGTTGGGTTGCTCTTGGAGAAGTCACATTCAGATGGTGTCTTCGTGGGGGAGAATGATCTGGCAGATTGGAGTGATCATCACCATCAGAGTGTATATGGGGATGGTCATGCCGAATTGATTGATGAAGATGGAGACAGTTTTCGGCGAACATTGGGGGATGTTGCTTCTTGGGATCAGATGAGGGAAGAATGTCGGAGTGAGAGGGATCTGCTGGGTGAGACTTGTAAACCTGAGAAATGGTTGAAATGCGGTCAGTTTGACGAGAAGAGTATTCTTGACTGTGAGGATTCTAAACTAACAAAGCCCTTAAGGCATGATGAAACAATAGAAACAGATGTAGGTCTTGTTGGAATACAGGTGGACAGCTTTTACCATGAAAATTCTAAATGGTATGATTCTCCTTGTGGTTTGGACTCTGGCGCAGATTGCGGTGACAGCGGAGTCAGGCATGGGGGGATCGTGTAGAGTTCATAGAGTTGGGTTAACCCACTCTAACATAATTCAGAGATTGTTGGGTGCCATTCACCCCATTTTCATTGTTGGAAGTGGGTTGTATATTTATGTACACAGAAGATTGGAGCCTCTCACATGCTTTTAGATGCCTTTGCTGCTTGTAGTTCTGTAAAGTATAGCCAATGAGCTTCTCTGCAAATATTTATCATGACTTGCTAGATCACGCTATGAGCGTTACAGGTTTAAAGTTTGGTTTCCTATATTCCTATATGTGGTATTCCCTTTTTAGTCCGTTGAAAAGTTATTGGATTACTACATGTGCCATTATGGTTTTCTACCCCTTCTATTGCATTCTGAGATACTTATGGCATGCCATTATTTTCTGACTTATTTCTTTATGTGTATTTTGAAAATTTTCACGGAGGTCTGTACTACATGGTACCTAAGATTCGTACTGAGTTGCTGTGGGGTTTATTTTATTCTGGCTGCTCTAGAATGATGTTTAAAAGGAAAGTAGCTTCTTAGTTGTTCTAACATTTCTTTGGGGTTCCATTGGTATTAGCATTTATGGGCATACCCACATAAATTTGTATAAAAAGACAAACAGATTGCAAATATATGTGCTTGTGTGGGTGTGCATGTGCGTGCTTAAATGCACTTGGCTATTGTTTTACATTGCATTTTCTTACTGTACATATGGCTATTGTACATATTAATAAATATTTGACTGAAAGCAGCGAAAATTGAAGGGGGGTTGGGTATGCACGGGTTGTTGTTTGTTATGTCTGACCACCAAAATTAGTATTGAACTTTCTAATTATCACCTTTGATTATACTTATAATCATGCGCATTCCATATCTTGAATTTTTGCCTCATGGTTAATGGATATGGCTGTGATTTAGTGTTATACCGAGGATTAGTAATGTCTGGGAAATTTACATTATTAATTAGTGATACCCTGTTCCACCACTTTTATGTGGATTGGTCAGAAGTGTGTTGGTTATCTTGTGCCCTTTTGTTACTCCCGAGAAATATAAAATTTAGCTCTAGGTAATGCTTTCATCTCCTTTGGTGTAAGCTCATCTCTTACCAAGTTTAAGATTTTTACTGTTTAATCGCTCATATCTGAGCTTGTGTTACTTTCTGAAGTCCTATCTATTGTATTAGATGCCTGTTCCATTATTGAAGAGAGATAGCAATGGGCCTAGTATGGCTCCGGTTCCCCACCTCAATCTGCCCTTCTAAAAGCACTCCCATCCCAGCTAGTCAGATGGGATCTTCACACGTCCCGTCCCAACTTGTAAGATCTCCCCTTATAAAGCTTTTTCATTGCCCTCCCTTAAATTCCCCCAACCTAGCAAAAGCACACACATACACACACACACAGACAAAGCTTCAAATTGGATGTCCAAAAGATTTTTGGTTTTCTATGTTCATGTCAAATCATGCATTGGTTATGTGATTACTGGAACCTATTCAAGAGCAAGGTTAAAAATTTTTGCCAAGATATAGTAGTATAAGCATTAGAGTATCATTGGTACATGTGTGATTGCGTAAAAGGAAAGAAGGCAAACATGGATATGCAAATTCACACAATGAGATGGTAGAAGAACTAAAGAAAGCTAACAGGCCAATTCACTCTGTTATGGAAATTTGAAGGATTTGGCTCCTCATTGGTCAACTATTTACTGGCACCACTGATTTCTCCTTGTCAACAGTTATAAAGATATTATAACTGTCTTACCATTACATATCTGTTGCCACAGGTATATAAATGCATACCCTGGGTTAATGTTGATTGCAGAATCCCTTAAAGAATGTTTCAAGAATAATGTAAATCAGATAGTTCTAACTTCTACATTTTTAGGAATTATTTGGGTTTTATTGGAATTATGAGAAAGGTTTCAACTTACTATGAGAGAGAGGAAGATACAATGAGACAAAAGGTGATAATGACGCTGATGAAAGTCATTGATCGGGAGTTTGGATTTTTTAGAACAGCTATGGAAGGTAGCTATGGCCACAACTCGGCAGGTATAAATGATAGCATTGGAAGGGACCAGCTTTGGTAGCCCTAAATCTATCTATATTTTACTTCTAAATGTCACTATATGTGAAAAACTTTTGATTGGCAAAATTATCTTTGAACTTTTTACAAATGTCAACTTGGTCATGAAACTTTTAAGTCTCTGAATTTTAACTATAAATCATCTCATCAACATCTAGCACTAAATATATACTGTAGCAGCATAGCCATCTGAACTTTTGCTATTCTAACATTACTTAGATACACCACTGTATGCATTAAATATATACATAGAGTTGTTATATAATCACTCTGAATAAACCTCAGCTGATCTACCTGGCTTGGGCATCAAATTCAAATCAATAAGCTCTCTTCTATCTTTTCTTTATGTCTTCTTCTTGGAAAAAAAAACAGAGATACAATTCTCTATTCTCCCCCATCACCATAGCCGACATCCACTGATCATTTCACCAGGAAAGCTTTTTTGTTTTCTTCACTTTCCTTGTTCCTCCTTCAACTTTTGTCTCGAATGCATGCTACCTTTGTCACAAGTCGAGCGTCGTTGCATACAAAACTGGTAGAATTGCTTTTTTTCGATGACAAAAAACTTCCATTTTTGAAATTCTCTTCAATTTTCCAATCGATTTGACTTGCTCAAACATATGATTTGCATAGAAACGGAAAACTCTAATAGGTGATTGTGAATTGTGGGAATTTTGCTTGTCACAACGTACTCTACGCTACTGAGACACTAGGACAATTTAGCTGACTGTAAATTGTGGAGGAATTAAAGCACCTTGGAAGAAATTAGTTTGTTATTTGTGCAAGTTAGACTGGGGTACCTGTGTTTACTGCAGGAATGGTATGTTTTATTGCTCACTTATTTTGAACCATTCTACACTTCTTTGTTGGATGGTATACCGTAGAGAGTATGTTGTTAATTGAAATCAATTTCTTCTTCAGATTTAAGTCTTATTCATTGTATGATGTCTAGTTTGGTAAATTCAGTTGGTCTCCCTTTGCCTTTTCTCTCTCTCTCTTCCATTCTTCATGACTGGATACATCTTCATTGAAAGTCATATACGCACTCATTTGAGTGTAATGCAGGGGGATAGGGGAGTGATAATCGGTCATTGATTTTATGACACTAGGTTTGGCTCTGTTTTTCTTATTTTGTTCAGCTCATCACATTTGTTGTGCTTTGCTTTCAAGATGCATGTCAATGTTTTGTTTGGGTTAAGTATGTGTCTGGATGTTAGATTGCATGAATAATTGAGAAAAAAAATCATGGGAAAATATTACTCCATATTTGTTCCTTGTTTGATAAAATGCATGGAGACGCCGAGGAAACACAAAGATCTCTGTTGTCTTTAACACCTCCTAAGATCACACATTGGCAACATAAGAATTTTTTCTTCATGAAATGTTCAAAGTCACTCTCAGGCCAAACAGGAGGAGAAGAACACAAACTCTTTAGATGTGAGTAGACTCACAGGAGTTGGTTTGCAGCTAATATGGGATACGAAGATCTAATTGTCAATGTGTACTTGGGTTCGATATACAAATTTCACCTAAAATGGTCATGTGCAATGCACGTGTACACAAACAAGTATGATTAAAGGGAGTTTCTGCTTGAGCCATACTTGATTTCCAAGGATGATTTTAACCCCTAATCTGCCCCTAGCTTGTTACTGTATTTGTTCAATTTTATGTGAAATGTACTTAATTCCATAAACATGCATTTGTGCATATGGAATCACATATGCTCATATGCAGTGGTGAGCCTCTCTTTTCTTGATTCTGGAAAGGCATGCAAGGCAGATTGCATGGCTTAGTCAATTTAATGGGACTATACATAAAACAGCTTTATGGCAATGAAAGACTTCGGATCCAAGTTATATTATAGCACATAGTACTGGCATGTCTGTCTATGTAAATGTACTTTGTCACTGTTGGAGTAGGCTTGGGCAGTTTATCCGGACGCGGCAACTCTATGCCTGTACCTATCAAAAAAGCATCTAGCCTGTTAATGATGTTTAAGTTTGCACAATATGGTACCTCTGTGCTCAACATGGGCTTATTTACTGTCATATTATCTCTTTGCTGACCATGTAATTTGCTTGCGCTATGTAATATAAGCTTTATGTGCCTTTCCATCAGCTGAAAAGAGTCTTCTGCTAGTCCTTTTTGAGATTATGTCAAAAAAATTGCCTCTATTAGTTTGAGAGTCACTGAAGTATTTGATGCCTTTCAAGAATTGCCCTTGTCCTGCTTTTTATCATGCCTACACCATGTTAAACCCATTTCTGCGTTTATGATATTTTTCTTTGGACTCTTCTTAAAGTGTATAGTACGTTTTCCACTCAGTGTACGCTATTATTTGGGCTCGGCTTGTGTAAAATGTGTTTCTATATGATTTGAATTTAGGCATGATGTGTACTTCATTTTCAATTTTCCATAATACTTTTTTCTTCAAAGGTGCGGTTGGTGTCTACTTTTAGAAGTCATTTCAGCTGTTCAAACTGGAGGTAGTAGTATTTGTTCAGTTATGAGACCTTTGGCACATTGGCCTAGTTTTTGAAGTCTCATATCAGTGCAGGCTTCATATTATGAGCAGGCCACCTGGTGTAAAGTTTATAATGACAGAAAGGATGCAACTGTTCACAGCTTCTGTTAAGAAGCACATTGCAGAGAGCTACTTCGAGTAGTGTGTGAGATGTTTCAGAAGGGAATGATACCCAGAATTGGAGCTGCCAAGAACATGAGTTTCAGAAGATTGGTGGTGTGTTGTAACAGCCAATGGACATTGGGTTTATCATTAATTCTGAGGCTATTTGATGAATTGTTCAGGTTGTAATCTACTGTAAATTGTAGTTTCTTACCTGCTCTTACACTTAATATTCTCAAACGTGTTGCTTATAATAGTTCATCTATTGTTATTTGATTGGTTTAACTGTTGCTTTGTACCTCTTGAATGTCAACTCG